AAAAATACTATTTTATTTTAAATAGAGAAGTAACAATTCTGATATGTAAAAATACTATTTTATTTAAAATAGATATATGACAATATTATGTTATGTAAAAATGTTTTTTTATTTTGCTTTAAGTAAATAAAAAAAAATATTACAACTATTGTTTTACTTCTATATTGTACATTTTACATTGTTCTATTTATTTTATATATTTTGCTAGCACTTGTCTTTCATTAATAAAATTATTAAAAACTTTCAAAACTTTCATTAATAATATATATATACATGATATATCTGTATTGTTATTCAATTATCACAGTTATGAAATATACAATCGTTTATGTTTTCAAGTAAAATATCTCTGTATAATTCGTTCTCGAATCTCGTTTCCATCTAATCTTTCTTCTACGTCATATATTTGAATATTTCTTTCCTCTTCGTCTACTTCATCATAGTACATTTCTGGTTGCGGAACATTGTAATATTTTGCNATATTTTGGAGTACACAACAAGCATTTACAATAAGAGCTAAAATAACATTNATTAGTTACTAATATTTTTAAATATTTGAAAAGAGATGTAGTCACTACAGAAGATTTTTTACCAGAGAATTCTGGAAAGTAATGTAATGCTCTTTCTTTCCTCAGGCATCTCCATCGTCCTTTTAACATTCCAGGTGATCTTTCCGGTCGTCTTAATTTTGGTGTCATTAAATAAGGTAATTGGGGATATCCGGAATCTCCTACAACATTAAAAGCATATAATTCCTTTTTATTTATACATTAATAACACATACACATATTTCAGGTATATTTTGTAACTAAAAACTAAAAAAATTTTACACATATAGAAATTTTACACACGTGTGTATTGCTGTAAAATTTCTTTAGTTTTTAAATACAAAATATTTGTACTTTGTAATAAAGTTAAAATGAGATTACATTAATAATTTTGTTTAACATTAATAATTATGTTTCAAATTATANCTAATAACCAAGTATTTGTTTGTCCATTTTGAAATTGTTGCTCTAAATGCAACGAAATGTGAGAAGCATTCCAAACACGTGCGTCATGAGTTCTTCCTCCATGACCACTGTTTACAGCAAGTATTTTTCCATTTAAATCACTGATCTAGAAAAATATATTTTTTTGAAAGATATTTTTAATAATGTTATATTTATTTATAATACTTACTATTAAAACGTTTAATGAATGATATAGTTTTCGGTTAATATATAAATGTTCTCGCTCTTTATTTGGGGGCC